CGGCCGGGGCCGCGATATCCTTACGATGGAGAGCGTCAACGCCCCCCACGGTTCACCTCCGAAGTCCCCTTTGCCGCCGGCGGACGGCGATCCTCCTGCCGGTCTAACTCCGGATGAATACGAATCCCTCCTGTCGACAATCGATGCTCACCACAGATACCAGTTAAGCAGCGGTCAATGCTCCTCCCTGATTGCGCAACGGATCCGGGCTCCAGCCGCCATCGTCTGGTCTGTGGTTCGCCGATTCGACCGCCCCCAAATATACAAACACTTTATCCGCAGCTGCTCCATTATAGAAGGCGGCGAGGTCTGCATCGGCTGCCTTCGCGAGGTCAGTGTTATCTCCGGCCTTCCGGCGAGCACCAGCACCGAGCGGCTCAACATACTCGACGAAGATCAGCGGGTCACCGGGTTCACCATCATAGGCGGCGAACACCGCCTTACGAATTACAGATCGGTGACTTCGGTGACGGAGATTGGGGAACCGGATCTGGAACGGGGCAAAGGTTTATGGACAGTGGTGCTCGAATCGTATATCGTCGATGTGCCGGAGGGGAACACGGAGGACGATACTAGGCTCTTCGCTGACACTGTTGTTCGGCTCAATCTGCAGAAGCTCGCCACTGTTACGGAATCGATGGCGGCGGCTCCGGAGGCCGCCGCGGCGGTCTCTGAAATGGGAAAGTGATATTGGAGGAATTGGAATGGGATTTGATGGAAGATGGAAAATAACTTGTTGCCGATTTTGGGCGATATTTGAGTGGGAGCTTCTTTTTTTTTTTTTTTGTTTCAATTTCATTTTTCAAATTAGCTTCTCTTCTCTGTTCTGGCAATTTGTTCGGTCAAAAAAAAAAAACGGTTTTTTCCTGAAATGTTTAGGGGCTGATTACTCTTCATGATTTTTTCATGGCCATATTTTATCAAGTAATTAGTTTATAAAACATAAATTTATTTACCTTTAACAGCATTATTAATCTACAAATGAGTTAGCTTTCTGTTTCTTTCATGGAAACCATTAATGTTCTTGTTCATATTATGCAAAGTATATATTTTAAGAAAAAAGAAACACCAATGGGTGCATAGATCCTCACATCAAGTATGAAAATGACATAATAAATTTATTCAGATTGGTTGATAAAAAGTCTTCACGTGATATTATAATTTTAGGGGTATGAAATTCTACGAGGGCCTTTCAAGGAATCTTATTGGCACGTAAATCTTGAGCATGCTTGGATATATATATATATATAAAAGATTGGCGGAAGTCTATTAGACGAGTATCATGCCCTACACACAGGGGGATTCAAACCCGTGACTTGAGGGGAGTATGACCTTCAGAGAGGCTGCTCTACTAACAGGCCACAGTACGCACATATACGGTGTCTGCTACTACAACTACAACAACAACAACAAGAATAACTCTTCTTTGTCCTGCTAAGTGGGGTCCGCTACTCTTGTAGTAGTCTTGTATCATTCTTTGTGTTCTATTAAGTGTCATATTTTCATTTAATTTTAATAAATTAAAATCATTTTTATACAATACTCCCAAAAATTTTTAGTTATACATATACCTTTTTTAACATAACAACTCTCCTAAAAGGGTCATCATAAGGTTGATGTTTAATGTGCATTATAGGAAAATTTACTTTTGTTTCCGACGGCTTGTTGATTGGTTACAAGTGAAACACGTTTCTGACACATTTCCTGCAACTTAAACCTTGGCTTATAAGTGAATCACATTTCTGAGGATTGAGATAATCCCCGACTGTCCAAATGGTTGATTCATGGCTAATTCTAAAGCAACTACCCTAGCCCATCAAAAAGTTATCCCATAGTTTCTTTACCCATTATTAACTAACGGTCACGTTATTCTAATTGACGACAAAGATCATTGATTTTTGAAGAAATAATGAATCAACACTCAGAAGTCAGCTGAAAAGCCATTGAAAATTATCTTATATCAAAGTGGCATCCGAAATCCCTATTTTCAGTTTCACGTGTGCACAAAATCCTTCGGAGCTGACTGAGCAGATTTCGATCACATTTTTGCTAAGGTTAACTGTTTCTCAAGTATTTATGGTCAGATTGTAAATAATCTCGATTCCAATCTTTCTCCAAGTTTTATTTAATTTGAAGCATTAGTTTTTTGCATTTTGAAAAAAATTTGTTTGAAGAAAAATGAAATTTTGATTCTATTTTCTATAGTTTTGATGATGCATTTGATTGTTTCTTATTTAGTGCTCATCTCCAAGATCTTGCACAATCTAATGCCTAATGTTTAATGTGAAATTTATATACCTAACACACAAATCATATTTTTTATCCATCTCTTGCCTACACTGTGATATTTACCATCTTTCTGTCACTTATAACTAATTTAACCGCAAACCCTAATAACACTAGGACGACATAACAATGGGAACTTGAGTGAGACATCCAAAAAAAATAAAATAAAATAAATCAACAAAACAAGAAAAATTAATCGGCTAAGAAGAGTTAAGAAACAAAAAAAAAAAAAATTAATTCTTAAAATTTGAAAAAGACATTAAGACTTAAATGAAACCATAATGACCAAAGATCACCGAATACAACTTGAACCCCTGAAACCCGGGTCTTCGAAAATCATTTGGATGACATAACCCATAATTGTTGATAGGAATCTTCTTGTTTGAGCAGGTTTGACCACCTCTTGGACTAAGTAGATTAGGGAACCTGACATCCACAGGGTGATGGAAAGGCATGGATACCTTAACCAGGTTGTCCAAAAAAAAAAAAAAAACCCCAACCAAACAAACCAAAACATATTTTATACTTACTCTATTTTGTAAGGATGTTGAAGACAAAAGATGAGCGTCACCCTAGATCTACTTTGCATGTTATTAGGGTGTGTTGACTCTATTTTGCAGAGAAGACATTCAAAAACTGGAGCAAAATAGATGAATCTCAACTAAACTAGTAACGACAAAACAAAACTCTTAAATAGTTTGAATTTTTTAGGAATCCGCTACTCTAAGGATAAGACAATGATATTCCTTCACAACAACGTTTAAAATTTTCTAAAGATGAGTTGTAACTTTAATCGAGAGTTTTCGTAAGCAATTCTCATATTGCTTAAGATGTAATCAACTATAGGGGCTTGCCCTTATAACAAGGAGCGAACCTTAGGACATGCACATCAACCTTAAATCTCTTGTTGTGGGTTTGCTCTCGTTAGGTTTTCTTCGTGAGAATGTCTCTGAGATGTCTTAAACCAATACACTTCAGAGCCATCTACACGAAGTTCACTTAACGAGAACTTCCTAACATATTTCTTTTGTTTGTCCTCATCATTAAATGCCTTAGCCCTCTAATCTCTGCCCTCTTTAGATCATCCACATGATCAGAGAGAGCTATTCATAGAGAAAGATCAACACGAAGAGAGATAAGCTGGAGACTCAATGACAACAATGACTGAATCGACAACCATGCAGGCATAGCGGCGACGACTGGGGCACAGGTCACCAACACAACGCGGTGAATCCAACGTGATGATGAAGTCCTTTAGTCAAAAGTTCGAAAGACTTTAACATAGTTTTTTCACCTGTAGGTATCTTGCCCCTCACCATCACTATTCTCTATTAAAAGCCAGCTGAAGCGTTGAAAATTTGGAAATAGTGATGGAAAAGTATCGATCATGTTTTATGTATAAGTAGTATGGACACAAAAATCAAGGAGTTCAATTCTATGAATTACATATTACACAATAGATAAGTCAAATTTTTTGTTTAATTCCTTCATTCATATCGCAGTTGTCACATTCAATAAGTAAGACAATTAAGGAACTGAATATGTACATAAAAATATGATTGCAAGAATCTAAAAAAAATCAATTGAACTAACAAAGAAGATACCAAACGACTGCATCGAGGTGGTTGAAAAATGAAAACGTCATGAGTCATTTTCTTCAGTCAAAACCACATGTCGACTGAATGAAAGTACAACCAAACTAAAGAACATTATGCATCTTACACGAGAAACAACTTTTTGCAATCAACTACATCAATTGATCCTGGGACTCTTCACAAAGATGGCAAAAAAGCACCCTCATCGAATTCTTTTCTAATCATCGGTGGTGGTCCCTTGTCCAAACATAAGCTGTCAATTATATTACCGTGATACACCCTCTATTTGATGGTCTAAGTTCACCCAAACTACAAGAGGGGCTCTTATGAGGATTCACTCGAGAAAGCCGACTAAAGACCTTCCAGTAGATTGATGACCTTCTACTCGACCGAGCGATTATTAGGTGAATGAATTTCAATATTAGCTGGCCATTACACGCCCCCTCTTCAAGCATTTACAAATATGAAATGATGCCAATATGAATATTAAAGGGCCCCAGAGTCAGTTATGATAATTACTCATAATTTCCCTATTAAACTCTCACAAACATGTAATTTTACTAGATACCCTTATAAATAGGGAATCATTTCTTCAAGAAAATGCTACTAAATCTATTTTCGGATAACTAGTGTAATTAGGCTCTCTACCTCTCTCTCTCTATTTTTATTTTTGTCATCCATCCAACACTCTATTTCTTGGGTGTGATCCACAGTACATTTTTGCTTCCAACAATATTATATGTTCTTTCTTAAAGGTTATTAACAAGTTATTAATGGAATTTTTTCCGGTCTTATATACAATCTTTCACTTTAATGAATCAAATTTTATCAATGGTAATTTCGCATTATCTTATTTAGAAAATGCCCATTACAAAAAAAAAAAAATAAATAAATTATATATATATATATATATATAT